AAAAAGCTCATCAGGTCCCTTTGACTTATTTTGCTTCAGTCGATCTATGTTTCATAACCATTTCACTAGTGACTGTGATGTTACATAATTTATGTTCTTCAGGCCCACTATAAAAATTAATTACTGGGATAATGTTAGTGTTTTCCTGTGTAAAAACCGAGAGAAAATAATTATTTAAAATCGAGCACATTTCATTCTCCTTGCCAGTAAGAGGCCCATAGTTATTTTTAAGGGGACCTATCTTATCTCTAACTTTTGTTCTATACACCTGGAAAAAACTTTTTGGGTTAGTTTTCGAATCCCTAGCAACTTTAATTTCGTAGTCCCTTTTAGCTTTTCTTATCCCCTTGTTAACGTCCCTCTTAATGTCAATATACTGATTCATAAAATGACTCGCCTCTTTTGATGCGCCTATAAATTCCTTTCTTATGCCCTAAAAGATATTTGAGCCTATTATTCATCCATTTTGGATCATTTCTGTTTGATCTAATTTATTAATAAGGTATAAATGTTCTTTGGGCACAATGTATAGTGTTAAGAAAACTGCCATATTGACAGCTCTCTTCGTTACCCCAGTCTACAGATGATAAGTGTTCTCTAAGCCCATCGTAATCTGCTAAGCGAAAATCTGTGATTGTTACTGAGTTATCCCTACTATCATACTTCCATTCAATGCTAAAGGTAATTGATTTGTGGTCGCTAGCACCAAATTCCTTTGAAATTTCTAAATTATTAACAAGGGATCCATTGTTTGCCAGAATTAAGTCAAGCAGGTTATTTCCCCTTGTAGGTTCTGTTACAAACTGGTTAAAAAAAAACAATCCTGAACTACTTCTAAGAAGTCGTTTGATTCTAAATTCCCAGTCAAGAAATTCCAATCAATATGACTTAAGTTAAAGTCTCTTAGAATTACTACATTATCGTGCCTTGTGGCTTAACAATTTCCTCCCATAGTAGTCTCCCTTGGTCCCTATCTAAGTTTGGAGGACGGTATATCGCGCCTCAAATAAATTTTTCATGCCCCTCTGAAAATTCTATCCACACAAACTCTGTAAGTGTTACTTCAGACTTAATACCCGTTTTTATGCAACAGTTCAGGCGATCTCGGACATGCAATGCCACCCCACCCCCCTTCCCGATACTTTTATCTACTTGGAACAATTTAAAACCCTGAATGTGACGTTCCACAGGCGTGTCCCGACTTTTTGAATTAAACCAGGTCTCAGTTATGGCTAATACATCAATGTTACCTGCACTAGCAACTAATCTCAACTCGTCCATCTTATTCCTAGCACTACGGCTATTAGCATAATATACATTGAAAGACCCTCCTTTCTCTTTACCCTTCCTGCTCATTTCTGTTTTTCTACTAAACCTATTACTATCCTTATCACCTAGTGTCACTGGCTTTTTAATATCTACCTCGTTCTGCTTATTACTAGTTTCCCTAGAGCTCAAAATATTACTACACCGGGACTTCTCTGTTTTCCCGCCAAAACCCATACCACTAACTATTCCTAGTTTAAAGTCCTAACAGCTCCCTCCAGTGCAGTTGCCAGTGCTCCCACCCCAGACCTAGATAAGTGAACCCCATCCCTGGCATACATGTCATTTCTGCCATAAAAGAGGTCCCAGTTGTCAATGAATGTTACCACATTTTCCTTACAGTATTTGTCCAGCCAGCAATTGACACCAATTGCCCTGGACAGCCATTGATTTGCAACTCCTCTTCTTGGCAAAATACCACATATAACATGGTTCCCACCCTTTCTCCTAATTATTTCTATTGCTGACCTATTCCTGCTAATCAGGTCCTCACTCCTACGTCTGCCAACATCGCTGCCTCCAGCCCTGAGACAGATAATAGGATTGCTCCCATTACCTCTCATGATGTCATCCAGACGACTAACAATATCCTCCATCTCAGCCCCAGGAAAGCAAACCCTCTGTCTCCTACTCCTGTCCTTCAAGCAGAACGCCCTATCCATGTACCTAACTTGGCTATCCCCAACAACAACAATATTCTTACCTTCCTTGGTGTTGTTCGTGACGTTCCCAGTAGTCGACTCACAATCGTCGGGTAGCATGGAGAATGCATTAGATGTTTCCACAACAGTTTCCACAGCAGTCTCTTTCTTCTTCATCGTTTCTACCTTTCCATTCGTTTTCTTGATCGTCAACTTCGTTCCATGCTGTCCAGCCACTGTACAGTTTCCCTTCTTGACCTGAGGACTCAGAACAGGGGGACTGCTACGAATCCTCTTGTTTTCCTCGGTCAATCGCCGAATCTCCATCTTTGCCATCCTCAATTCATCCTTAAGCTGTTGGTAAAGTTGCTCGATGGAGGGCATCTCGGTTCAGTCCGTAGAGAGCACACTCGACACGTCCTCACTGAGCTAAGTACAGGTCACCACTGAGCTAAGTACAGGTGACCACTGAGCTAAGTACAGGTCGCCACTGAGCTAAGTACAGGTGACCACTGAGCTAAGTACAGGAGTATGTACAGTACCTGGCTGCAAGCCGGCTGTAAGGAGTCGCATTCATGTGAAGAAGATTTAGGGACACCCATAAGACAGATAGTCCCCGATGACGAGATGACTTTATTGAGTAACTAATTCTCTTGGTAAATAAATCGACCAAAATCTTATGATCGTCATAATTTATCTTTCCTTTCTCTGATAAAGTTCTTAATAGATCAGAACATTGTCGCAACAAAAGTTTGTTTTGTATATTAGCTTATCATGAAGTATTTCGTGGATATGTCAGAGTTATCACGAATTAATGGCACGTAGTAGTAGGAAAGTGGAGGCGGACGACCGTAATAAATCATGGCCGCTCGGGCCCAGCCAAGGAACATGGCTCAGCAGAGACTGCTGCAGCAAATTCATTCCTTATTTAATCTCCAGATGGCAAAATACTCACAAAAATACGGAGTGAGTTCTTCGTCAAAGGGACAATTTGTCTTGAATTAGATACTTATGTTGGACAAATATATGCGTTTGGGAGATTTGGAGGTTATGAGTCTACTACAGTCCTCCTCCATTCTTCTGTTTTTTTCGAGTTAATGACCTGAAATCTTTAAAACTAAGCATATATTGACCAGGCCTCTTTAAAATTAAACGCACATGGACCAGGCTTCTTTAAAATTAAACGCACACGGACCAGGCTTCTTTAAAATTAAACGCACATGGACCAGGCTTTTTTAAAATTAAACGCAGATGGACCAGACTCCTCTAGTTAAAATTAAACGCTCATGGACCAGGATCCTTTAAAATTAAACGCACATGGACCAGGATTCTTTAAAATTAAACGCACATGGACCAGGATCCTTTAAAATTAAACGCACATGGACCAGGATCCTTTAAAATTAAACACACATGGACCAGGATCCTTTAAAATTAAACACACATCGATTAAGTTCCTTAAAAGTAAATCCATCTGTATTATTTAATACTTAAGATAAACACCTGTCAGTTTACCTATACTGTGAGAGACTTAACACCATGTGCACTTAACACCATGTGCACTTAGCACCATGTGCACTCAGAATGTACATTGAAAAATACACTCTTCAGTGAATATACACAGGTATACACACTCGGTGTACAGTAAGTACTCAGAGATAAATACCTTTTAATGACTGAATTCTGTGAGAAATACTTTTCAGTGTATGCCCACTGAGAGAGTTAAACAACTCTTACGTTATACACACTGAGAGAGATATACAACTCTCAGGCTATACACACTGAGAGAGATATACAGCTCTCATGCTATACACACTGAGAGAGACATACAACTATCATGCTATACACACTGAGAGAGATATACAACTATCATGCTATACACACTGAGAGAGATATACAACTCTCAGGCTATACACACTGAGAGATATACAGGTCTGAGGCTATACACACTGAGAGAGATATACAGGTCTGAGGCTATACACACTTAGAGAGATATACAACTCTCAGGTTATACACACTGAGAGAGATATACAATTCTCAGGTTATACATATTGAGAGAGAGATACAACTCTCAGGTTATTCACACTGAGAAATACAACTCTCTGGTTATACACACTGAGAGAGATAAACAGCTCTCAGGTTATACACACTTAGAGAGATATACAACTCTCAGGTTATACACACTGAGAGAGATATTCAACTCTCAGGTTATACACACTGAGAGAGATATTCAACTCTCAGGTTATACACACTGAGAGAGATATACAACTCTCAGGTTATACACACTGAGAGAGATATTCAACTCTCAGGTTATACACACCAGGAGACTTACACTTCTTTGAGAAGAAACACGACTTACACTACTGGATTTTTCCACTGGTGACGCTGCCTCCAGCTGCTTCTGCTCACCTGTTTGCAGTATATATAAGGCACTTCTCCGAGTATATGCTGTACTTTTCAAAAGATTGATGGACTCAACATATCGACTCCAGGCTAAGGGACTGAGTTCCTCACACTCCTTTCCCTCTTCCACCGTTCATCTCTGTATCAAACTTAAAAGGCCACTTGTTGGCATAATGTTACCACAATAAAGATTCACAAATGTCGCAGAAGTGTCTAATTGATCCACGAACCCTGAGATAAGCTGACTGTGGTGAGGTGACGGCTCACACAATGGCGCATTTAACAAGGTAGGTGTCGCCTGCCAAGAGCACTGGCGAAGACCATAATGTGTAGTAACCTTGTTCTCTCTCTCTCTCTCTCTCTCTCTCTCTCTCTCTCTCTCTCTCTCTCTCTCTCTCTCTCTCTCTCTCTCTCTCTCTCTCTCTCTCTCTCTCTCTCTTTTCTCCACACTGCTATCAGTGTGTGGTAACCTTGCTTGATCTCCTCCACAGTGCCACCAGACAGTTTGAAGTTACCTTGTTTTCTTCTTTACAGTGCCACCAGACAGCGTGTAGTAGTAACAGTGCTTCTCTTCTTCTCCTCTACAGTGCCACCAGTGTGTAGTAGTAACCGTGCTTCTCTTCTCCTCTACAGTGCCACCAGACAGTGTGAGAATTTTGGACGTTAATGGTAACGAAAAAAGCTCTACTATTGGTCCTTACGTGTTGGGGATGACACTCACTCTCAAGTGTGTAGCCACGGAGGGTGAGTACAATATTACACTCACTCATAATAATAATAATAATAATAATAATAATAATAATAATATCAATAAAAAATTAATAATAATAATAATAGTCGTAATAATAATAATTATAGAGTAAAATAATTACAATGAAGAGAGTTACAAGTATTTCGGTCGCTGCCTGATCCGAGGGAGATATGTCTGTATTTCACAACCTCAGCACTTTGTGTGTCAATGCATACGACTGGAATAGTGCAGAGTGCTGCATAAGTTGATGATGCAGTTAAATTCACAAGTCATCATTTGGAAATTAATATCCAAATTTCTTCATTATATCTGTTAAATTAAAAGTAACGTAGACCAAATGTAATTCAAACTTTTCAAAGAAACTAAAGTGACTAATATACTAAAATACACAAGCACATTAAGCTCGAGACTAATCAGATTAGACACCCAAAAATTATCGCACCAAAAGGAGTATCTTAATTTTTTTCAAATTTCTTCCAATAATCCAAACTGAGATCAGTTCAAATTTTTCACAAAGGATGACTAAGTTTTAGAAAAGTAAAGTACAGCAAGTTTATAAATCTTAGTGTACATAACTTACATATTTTTAAGAGTGTTGACGGCACACAGATGTTACAGACACTTAAAAGAACATTAAGTTTATTTAACCTATGATACCCCAATAAAGTCAAACACTGTGACTTATTTCTGACCAGAAGAGACATTCACCAGTTACTTCACAGACACCAGTTTGATTATAAAATTGGCACATAATAACTTGTACCATCTGACATCAAGAGATTGTTACCCCTGTGGTAAACACATCAGTACTAAAAGAATAAAGCTGGCCAGAAGAAACATTTTCCAGTTATTACACAGAATCCAGCCAAAGTTGTGCCTCCTGAGCCTAAGTTCATGAAATTCGGGCCATTAGTTAATGGCCCGAATTGGACCATTAACTGTTAGACTAATTAATGGACCATGACACGTGATGCATCAGCCATTAAACTCTCATGCCGTTCACGATTATTTCAGTTTAATCAGACGAAACCGATAAACCGGTAAAGATTACAGAGCGTCTGTGGAAAAGCAGCCGTTCAAATTCATTCCAAGACAGAAGGTAAATCCAGTTCCCAAGATCAAGAGCCCCTCACCAGCATCAAGGTGACATATTGCGGTAATGCAAAAATGCTATACTAAATATACCAGACGTCTCGTGTGTCTACTAAGGAGGACACACGAGACGTGTGTCTGCAGTTATAATAATGACACATAATTCGGGAATAACTAAGTTTATTCTGGTGTACACAAATACAGTTACATAGATTATCATACATAGCAGCATATGTGTAGAGATGCACAAATAACCTGCACATAGAAGAGAGAAGCTTACGACGACGTTTCGGTCCGACTTGGACCATTGTGACTATGTAAATGGTCCAAGTCGGACCGAAACGTCGTCGTAAGCTCCTCTCTTCTATGTAAAGGTTATTTCTGTATCGTTCCAGTCACGGTACTAAGCCTTTTAGATTTTTTTTTATCACACTGGCCGATTCCCACCAAGGCAGGGTGGCCCGAAAAAGAAAAACTTTCACCATCATTCATTCCATCACTGTCTTGCCAGAAGGGTGCTTTACACTACAGTTTTTAAACTGCAACATTAACACCCCTCCTTCAGAGTGCAGGCACTGTACTTCCCATCTCCAGGACTCAAGTCCGGCCTGCCGGTTTCCCTGAACCCCTTCATAAATGTTACTTTGCTCACACTCCAACAGCACGTCAAGTATTAAAAACCATTTGTCTCCATTCACTCCTATCAAACACGCTCACGCATGCCTGCTGGAAGTCCAAGCCCCTCGCACACAAAACCTCCTTTAATACCCCCTCCCTCCAACCTTTCCTAGGCCGACCCCTACCCCGCCTTCCTTCCACTACAGACTGATACACTCTTGAAGTCCACTCTGTTTCGCTCCATTCTCTCTACATGTCCGAACCACCTCAACAACCCTTCTTCAGCCCTCTGGACAACAGTTTTGGTAATCCCGCACCTCCTCCTAACTTCCAAACTACGAATTCTCTGCATTATATTCACACCACACATTGCCCTCAGACATGACATCTCCACTGCCTCCAGCCTTCTCCTCGCTGCAACATTCATCACCCATGCTTCAAACCCATATAAGAGCGTTGGTAAAACTATACTCTCATACATTCCCCTCTTTGCCTCCAAGGACAAAGTTCTTTGTCTCCACAGACTCCTAAGTGCACCGCTCACCCTTTTCCCCTCATCAGTTCTATGATTCACCTCATCTTTCATAGACCCATCCGCTGACACGTCACTCCCAAATATCTGAAAACATTCACCTCCTCCATACTCTTTCCCTCCAATCTGATATCCAATCTTTCATCACCTAATCTTTTTGTTATCCTCATAACCTTACTCTTTCCTGTATTCACTTTTAATTTTCTTCTTTTGCACACCCTACCAAATTCATCCACCAATCTCTGCAACTTCTCTTCAGAATCTCCCAAGAGCACAGTGTCATCAGCAAAGAGCAACTGTGACAACTCCCACTTTATGTGTGATTCTTTATCTTTTAAACTCCACACCTCTTGCCAAGACCCTCGCATTTACTTCTCTTACAACCCATCTATAAATATATTAAACAACCACGGTGATATCACACATCCTTGTCTAAGGCCTACTTTTTCTGGGAAATAATTTCCCTCTTTCCTACATACTCAACTTGAGCCTCACTATCCTCATAAAAACTCTTCACTGCTTTCAGTAACCTACCTCCTACACCATACACCTGCAACATCTGCCACATTGCCCCCTATCCACCCTGTCATACGCCTTTTCCAAATCCATAAATGCCACAAAGACCTCTTTAGCCTTATCTAAATACTGTTCACTTATATGTTTCACTGTAAACACCTGGTCCACACATCCCCTACCTTTCCTAAAGCCTCCTTGTTCATCTGCTATCCTATTCTCAGTCTTACTCTTAATTCTTTCAATAATAACTCTACCATACACTTTACCAGGTATACTCAACAGACTTATCCCCCTATAATTTTTGCACTCTCTTTTGTCCCCTTTGCCTTTATACAAAGGAACTATGCATGCTCTCTGCCAATCCCTTGGTACCTTACCCTCTTCCATACATTTATTAAATAATTGCACCAACCACTCCAAAACTATATTTCCACCTGCTTTTAACATTTCTATCTTTATCCCATCAATCCCAACTGCCTTACCCCCTTTCATTTTACCTACTGCCTCACGAACTTCCCCCACACTCACAACTGGCTCTTCCTCACTCCTACAAGATGTTATTCCTCCTTGCCCTATACACGAAATCACAGCTTCCCTATCTTCATCGACATTAACAATTCCTCAAAATATTCCCTCCATCTTCCCAATACCTCTAACTCTCCATTTAATAACTCTCCTCTCCTATTTTTAACTGACAAATCCATTTGTTTTCTAGGCTTCCTTAACTTGTTAATCTCACTCCAAAACTTTTTCTTATTTTCAACAAAATTTGTTGATAAAATCTCACCCACTCTCTCATTTGCTCTCTTTTTACATTGCTTCACCACTCTCTTAACCTCTCTCTTTTTCTCCATATACTCTTCCCTCCTTGCATCACTTCTACTTTGTAAAATCTTCTCATATGCTACTTTTGCTCCTTACTACTCTCTTTAACATCATCATTCCACCAATCGCTCCTCTTTCCTCCCGCACCCACTTTCCTGTAACCACAAACTTCTGCTGAACACTCTAACACTACATTTTTAAACCTACCCCATACCTCTTCGATCCCATTTCCTATGCTCTCATTAGCCCATCTATCCTCCAATAGCTGTTTATATCTTACCCTAACTGCCTCCTCTTTTAGTTTTATAAACCTTCACCTCTCTCTTCCCTGATGCTTCTATTCTCCTTGTATCCCATCTACCTTTTACTCTCAGTGTAGCTACAACTAGAAAGTGATCTGATATATCTGTGGCCCCTCTATAAACATGTACATCCTGAAGTCTACTCAACAGTCTTTTTTTCTACCAAATACATAATCCAACAAACTACTGTCATTTCGCCCTACATCATATCTTGTATACTTATTTATTCTCTTTTTCTTAAAATATGTATTACCTATAACTAAACCCCTTTTCTATACAAAGTTCACTCAAAGGGCTTCCATTATCATTTACACCTGGCACCTCATACTTACCTACCACACCCTCTCTAAAAGTTTTCTCCTACTTTAGCATTCAGATCCCCTACCACAATTACTCTCTCACTTGGTTCCAAGGCTCCTATACATTCACTTAACATCTCCCAAAATCTCTCTCTCTCCTCTACATTCCTCTCTTCCTCCAGGTGCGTACACGCTTATTATGACCCACTTTTCGCATCCAACCTTTACTTTAATCCACATAATTCTTGAATTTACACATTCATATTCTCTTTTCTCCTTCCATTACTGATCATTCAACATTACTGCTACCCTTCCTTTGCTCTAACTCTCTCAGATACTCCAGATTTAATCCCATTTATTTCCCCCCACCGAAACTCCCCTACCCCCTTCAGCTTTGTTTCGCTTAGGGCCAGGACATCCAACTTCTTTTCATTCATAACATCAGCAATCATCTGTTTCTTGTCATCCGCACTACATCCACGCAAATTCAAGCATCCCAGTTTTATAAAGTTTTTCTTCTTCTCTTTTTTAGTAATGTCTACAGGAGAAGGGGTTACTAGCCCATTGCTCCCGGCATTTTAGTCGCCTCATACGACACGCATGGCTTACAGAAGAAAGATTCTTTTCCACTTCCCCATGGACAATAGAAGAAATAAAGAAGAACAAGAGCTATTTAGAAAAAGGGAGAAAAACCTAGATGTATGTATATATATATGCATGTGCGTGTCTGTGAAGTGTGACCAAAGTGTAAGTAGGAGTAGCAAGATATCCCTGTTATCTAGCGTGTTTATGAGACAGAAAAAGAAACC